CAAGGCCACGCTCTCCTTTGCGACTTCACTGCCCCATACGCCATCGGCTCCTCCTCGTCGCCATTCCTCGCCAGACACGTCTTCGCCGCCACCTCGTGTAGCCTCGCCGAGTAGCACTTCCAGGTCGCGCTTCTGGCTGGACAACCAGCGCTTGAAGAAGGCCACAGGGTCCTTGGACATGCTGGTGAAGAAGGCGTGTTTCGCTTTCGACTGGCCAATCGCGCCCATCAACAGCACGAGCTGCTCGTCAATCTTCTGGATCTCTTGGAGAGTTTGTATGCTATCTGGTCGGCGGAGGATATCTTGGAACAGCGGCTGCATCGGGTCCTCCAGTGCTACCTGGACGTCGTACACGGTCGGTTCGGAGGGGGTCTTGCCGGAGTCGGCAGCGGGCGAGATGTAATCCTTGTCCACACGGATCGTATATTGTAGTTGGATTGGTGGGAGAGTCGTGAGGTGTTGCTTGATGAGCTGGGGCAGGTTCGGGAAGAAGAAGTGGTCTTGGCCGCCGAAGAGGGCCTTCAGCCTCGCGTCGCATGCAAATTTGCGCTCGTCGTCTTCTTGTTGTAGGTGTTGCGACCTCGCGTATTCCCAGATGCCCATGAGGACACCGGCGCGATCCTCCTCATCGGTGTCAAGCAGCTCGGCGAGAGGTTTGCTCAGGCGAAAGACTTCAGGGTTTTGGTACCGCTGTAGGTTGATCGTGATGTTAATGTTTTCGTCGCCCTTGCGCTCGAACTCGAGTTCGCTGAAGTTAGCCTCCTTCGCAGTGGGGTTCTCGGGTCGTTTCCATTCAATTTGCGTAAAGTTATCGGGTTGTAAGCTCTTGGCGCGGTCGAAATCGATGTTGATGGACGTGAAGTAGTGCGAAAATTGCTTGGGCTTTGCGGCTGGCTTCTTCTCAGCTCCGTCTTCGTCCCTAGATGCTAGTCAGTCTCGCTGTAGGGTGTGGAAACGCGAACGGCAGGCGCTCGAACTGGCGCCGGCGCAAGTAAAAGGTCGACATACATAGCATCGGCGTCCTTCTCCTCGTCCTCGTCCTCCTCGAGGCCTTCGTCGCCGTCTTCGTCGAGCAGGCGGCCTTGGATCTTCACGCGGTATGTCGCGTTGTTCTCGCCGTCAAAATCGAAAGCGTCTGCGTCGAGGCCGGTGCTCTGCCAAGGCTGGTTTTCGGCGGTGTTTGATATCCATATGCGCATGGTGCCGTAGCGCGATGCGCGCGAATGGTGTTTTGAGTCCATGACATCCAGCTTCTTGCGCATCATGGTCGCATCCAGCGTGCGCTCGACTTCGCGCAATTCCTTGTAGCGGGTCACGGCATCGCCGATGCACACGTCTTCTACGCCCTCAGGGATGTTCTTGTCGGTCGGGTTCTTCGCGATTCGGCGCATCTTCTCGCGGCGTTCAGCTTCGGCGCGCTGCGAAGCCTGCATGTTGGCGTTGTTGTACTGCGGTTGCGCAGCCGGGTGCGGAGCGTGGACAATGGGGCCTGGGTTGCGAAACAAGTGAGCGAGGTCGTTCCTACTAATCATCGTCTTTTACGGAAGGTATGCGCAGGCGGTCGGTGCGATGGGGCGTGTTGGGGAAGCTGTGGTTGGCAATGGGTACTTACCTGGTCGCCGGGATGGCGTAGCTGCATTGTGCTGTTGCGGATAATTATATCCCCGTGCCTGATAGTTCGGTTGCATGGTGCAAAGTGTGCGAAAATGAACGGCAGCGAAGTTCGCGATGAAAGCGCGTCAGTGGAGATGGAAGGTGGATAGGATGGTAACTTCTTCGAGACGCGTCGAGGTTAGGTACGACTACGTGCATGCACGGATACTCTAGCTCCCCCTATAGGCCATGCGGGGCATCACCCCCACCCAGCCCTCGACTGCACAAGCTTTTCCATCTACTTCCAGCCTCATCGACATCAGAGACCCGCGTGTGATGTAAAATAGCAGCCTTCAAGAGGTGCTTCTCGCTGCTATTGGGGCCCCGTCTCATTCACTGCTTCAGCATCCGTCTTGGCACTCGTTGACGCTCGTTCAGTGAAGCGATCTAGTATCCTCCCAGTTTATCTAAGCGTCATTATCGCTGTCCCCTGTTCTCCTTCTTCCTTTCTTTTTCTCCCATCTGCACCTAACAGGCAAGACCAGTCGACACCCAGCACTCTAGTCCTTGGCGTGAGTGAAGAGAAGGAAAGCATGGAGAACCAAAAGTCAAAGCAACCCCTCAGAAGAATTACCAACGTGCGTATACCGGATAAACCGTCGTCGACACTCTGGGACATCACGATCAACGATGGGAGAATTGCTTCGGTAGACAGCCATGTCAAGGACTCGGACGGGCGCAGTGAAGACACGCTAGATGGAGGCAATCGCCTCATAGCGCCGTCGCTTTGTCATGCCCACATCCACCTTGACAAGTGCTTCCTCCTGCAGGATCCCAAATTCAGCGACTTACAAATCGAGAGCGGCGACTTCACCGAAGCCATGTCGATGACGGGTGAGGCCAAGTCAAGGTTTGAGGAAGATGATCTCCTGAGGAGGGGCGCGCGTCTTATCGAAGAGAGTATTCAACATGGTGTGACCGCTATGCGGGCGTTTGTAGAAGTGGATGGGGTGGTGCACACGAAATGTTTGGACGCAGGTCTCAAGCTGAAAGAAATGTTCAAGGATCGCTGTGAAGTGCAAATCTGCGCGTTCGCCCAGCTCCCGCTATTCTCTGGCCAAGACGGGGGTGAGGAAGTAAGGAAGCTGATGGCCAGTGCTGCCTCGTTGGAGAAGGTGGCTGTTCTCGGAAGCACCCCATATGTTGAGGATGATGAACAAAAGTCCAAGGATAACGTGAAATGGATCACGCAGTTAGCACTTAAATACCAGAAGCATCTAGATCTCCATCTCGACTACTTCCTGGAAGAAGACAAGAAGCCACTGGTCTGGGATACCCTGGACATGTTCAAAGAGCTCAAATGGAAAGAAAAGGCGGGAGACAGGCAAATTACGCTAGGACATTGCACCAGATTGACGAGATTCCGGAACGACGAGTGGACGCATCTGCGACAAGAAGTAGGCGACCTGCCAATCTCTTTCGTAGGCCTGCCGACCTCCGACCTGTTCATGATGCGAACACCAGAGAATGTGCGCGGGACTCTGCCGGTCGTTGAACTCATCAACGAGTACGGGTTCAATGCTGCCATTGCCGTTAATAACGTGGGCAACGCGTTCACACCGTACGGGAACTGCGATCCTCTGGTAAGACATCTCGCATACATGCTCATACAGAAATGTCGCTGAAACCGTGACTAGAGCATTGCATCACTAGGTGTCGGTCTTTACCAGGCTGGTACAAAGAAAGACGCTGAACTCCTATATGTAAGCAGCCGTTCAACACCCCGTTTGCTCATGCTAACCATGCAGGAAACCGTATCTACACGGGCAAAGACCGCTATTGGCTGCGATTCGACGTCTCTCGCCCTAAAGCCGGGTCAGCCTGCCGACTTTGTGTTGTTCGACCGAATGGACAGTGGCTGGCACTGCAGAAAGAGCGTGGTAGAGGTGGTGTATGATGCCGGGAATGCTCGCCAAACGGTTTTCGGAGGCCGGTTGATTGCATCGAAAGATACGCGAACGTAATGTATGAGGGCTCTTCAGTGGTGCTGAATGAGTTGGTGACACTGGAGGGGAATTTCTAGGATGCGACCTCATACCGAGTGTCTCAAACGTACGTATGAAAACTTCACCCACTCCGCGCTTTTTAGTCTGAGCATATGCCTGTCGCTTTTTATCAGCTGCCTTGGATTGAATCGTTGAGTAGGAGTGCAATATTCTTCCGCAGTCATCGCGACTTCCCTCAGATGCAACAGTCGTCCCAATGGGGCCTAGGAGACCCTGCTTGTGACACAGTATGTGCAAACAGCCCACGAAGACTCCTAACCGCGCACGTCCACTCACTATACAAACGAGCGATTTTACGTTTCCGCGCCCGCGAGACCGAAAAGCGGTGGACGACACGCGCTCACGTGTTTCATCTTCACTTCACCGGAAGGTGCAATCGCTGCTAACAGACCAGACTCGGCTATTTGAGGACCGAGCGCCTGTACCACGAGGCTCCAGCACCCATCAATTCTGCAAATATCTCGCATCAACGCCGGTATTGAGATTGGACTGAAGGTTGTGGCCAAGAGATAGTGACCGTGCTGCCGCCCGGACGAACGTCATGGAAAATCTCGACAGCGACAACATGCTCAATAATGCGCATCAATCGCTACACCCAACCGAAATGGTGCACTCCGGAACGGTCAACGGCAGACACGAGCACGTGAGTCGTGGTCATCAACCGACTATCGGGCAGGTCGTTTACATATTCCTGGACAACATCAAGGTGCGTCCACCATATACCAGAAAAAAACTGAACAGGCCTAGAGCCTACATCGACGCTAGGTCACCTATCTTGTAGGTTTTCATGTTGATGTAGGCTGCAGACCCGTTCGGTTTTTTTCTTGATTGACGTGCGTCGTTGCTTTTGCACTCTCCATCGAGGGTCATCATCATCACATACATTCCCGTAGCATCAGATACTGACTATCGAAGCTCCGATTCGGTGAACATTCGACTGAGGTCATCAGCATCTTGAACATCCTTGGTACATTCCGAGCTGGAGAGATGTCGAAGAAAGACACACTCGTTGCAATCAGGAACACGCTCGGAGATCACGCAGACCTCAAGCAAGATCTTCTGAACATCCTGTTTCACAGAGAGGCCGACTGGGGTAAGTTTTGACTATACGAAATGCTTGTGAGACATATACTGACATCTTGCGTCTACTTCCAGGCGTGGGCGACTTCGACTTTGAGTTCCGCCAGCCACTCGAACGACCCAGCCCTAGCCCTCAATTCCTGCAGCCGGCTCATCAGCCTCAGATGCGCTTACCCCGAATTTCTCCACTATGGCACGAGGATGATCATACCTACTATAGCCAGCCTTGGTCTTCCGTCACCAACGGTCCGATGCTCCATCATGCGCAGTCTCCCACAGACAATCACTTCAATGCGCCAGCAATCTCTTATCAAACCCAACTGTCTCCAGCTCTCTCGATAAGCAAGGGAAAGACTGCCACCGCTAGCCCATCTGTGCTTGGAGTACCCGTCGCTGTACCCATCGGCCAGCCCATCGACGAGATGCCCCCTCCATTAAAGAAACGTCGTCGTCGTCAAAGCTCAACAATCCAAGCTAAGGCGAAGGAGGAACCAGGAGAAGAAGATGCCGAGATCGCTGATCGACTCTCAGTCCCAACCCAGCCAGAAAAGAAGATCAAAGAGGCAAACACCCTGTCGCAAGGAATAGGAGGGCCCTACATTCACAGTCTGTGCGGCAAGGGATTTTCCGGCAGGTCAAAGGTCAAGAAACACCACTGGGGTAAGAAGCTTGATGATCTGGAGACAACTAGCGGTTGTTGGGCGAAGAACAACAAGCCAGACGTGAGCTGGAACGAGCATCCGAGCTGCAGAGAGGGCGTGGCGCAACGAAAGCCTTCATCGGCGGTTCTGAAACCGAGTACGTTGACCCAAGAAGCCCCATTGGTGCCTTCGATGGTACCTACCTCTGAAGACCGCAACCATTCTTTTGCCGACACTTCGCGGCTCCGCCAAGAGATTGAGCAGCCTATCGAAAACAGGAGCTCTTATCATTCTCATCGGCTGCCTGCCCGATCAAGTTTCGACGACCTGCTCACTGCTGTCAACGTCGCATCCGAGATCGACGCGCCACGACCACAAGGACGCATCGACTCAGTGGTCTCTCATCTCGATGCTCAGGCAGCCGCTGCTGAACAGAACAGGCAGTACATCACCAACTGGCAGAACGCTTCAGATGATCGTCGTGAGGAGTCTCTTGCATACGGTCGCCAGTACCCATACACTACACAGGGACTTGGCCTTCGAGGTGTTCACGTGCCAGTACACATGGCTTTGCCGGTTCTTGATGGATCGTATCAGTACCCTCCTCCCTCACGTTCCTTCGCCGATTCACACTGGAATGACGGCAACGAGTTGGAGTTCGACGGATCAAGGCGACAGTATGCGGCTCTCGGATCGCCGTTCTCACCTGGTGCAAATGCGGAATACCGTTAGGCCTAGCCAGATAGCCAGTTTGCGCGCTCTACTGGGACGAAAACGGAGAAGGTCGTATGGAAAATGGCTGCAAGCGTCAGCGAAAATGAAGCAGAATCCATCGAGTGCAGTAGTGGTTGGAGCCACAGAAGGAGTGTACGACTATAATCAACGAGAACACCCGACTCATGTATGTAACGGTTGTTCGTGGAACAACAGAACATGGCGCGATCTAATCTAATGTCTTCCAACATCATGTTGTATCTGCAGGATGAGGGCGTGATGATGAATGACGAGCTGCTTCGTAGAAGCATGCAAATGGGGGTGTCATTGCTGCATGCAGTATACCATCCCGACCTTGCATACACGACATGTGGCGTGGTTCAAGCTTCCGCCTCAACGGGTAAGCTCATCGGCAGGGATACTTCACCCCAGCCGCTCTCCGCGTAAACAACAAGCCATCTCCACGTTCTTCTGCCTGTGAAGGGGGCGCGTTTAGTTTTTTCCGCTATTTTCCGCGAATGGCGACTTTTGCCGGTGCCTTTTGCTAGACTGATCCTTGTCAAGTGAGATTGAGTAGTCGCGCTTCTGAGAGCTATGACGACCGAGGCTTCGAGCTTGCGATGGAGCTGGATGCCTCATGATACAACACGAACGAAGAACAACTGCAATTGAGAGCGACAACCTTGTGCGACAGCTGATCGTCACGCTCCATGGCACAGATGTGACTAGTATGCAGCTTCTGTGAGCTTACGCGGGCCGATTTCGTCATAGCCGCGTTCCTGGGGAAATTGACATGGCCTTCCTGCGGGGAAGAAGCGCACGTTCGCTACCCTCGAGCGGCGACCCGCACTTTCCCCAGTACGAGCCCATTAGCACCATAGACCCGGAGGCTGGAGAAGTGAGAATATGCGGGATGGATCCTAGTCACAGGATCGTGGAACGGTAATTACGCCGGTAGCCTGTTCGTCTATAGCAGTATATAATAACCCTCCGCCCGTCAACCCCGTACTCTTCTCCACACCACATCACATCACCTCCACTTCTCAACTCGATCGAGCTTGGCAAGTCACGATGCGGTTCTCAAGTGCACTCCCCCTCTTTGCTGCGACTGCCCTCGCGCAGTACAGCACCCCGCCGACCAACTCGAGCTCGTCCGGACCTGACAAGGACGGCAAGTACGAGATCTCGTCTGAGGGCATTCGCGGTCACTTCATCCCATATGGCGCCTCCGTCTCCAACTTATTCGTCATGGGCAAGGACGGTGTTGAGCGCGACATTGTTCTCGGCTTCGACAACGCGACTGCTTACGAGGGCGAGGTTCACCCCCATTTGGGTGGTGTGCCTGGCCGTTACGCCAATCGCATTCGGAACTCTACCTTTTCCATCGACGGCGAGCAGTTCTTCATCGAACCCAATGAGAACAACAACAACAACACCCTGCACGGTGGACCAGATGGATGGGACTACCGCAACTTTACTGTTGTGGCGCATACCGAGGATTCCATCACCTTCTCTATTGTCGATCCCGACGGCAAGGAGGGTTTCCCCGGTGAGGTCGTGAGCTACGTTACGTACACCATGACCCCCAACACCTGGAACATCAAGATTGTGGCGCTTGCTACCACCAAGAAAACGCCCATCATGCTGACTTCTCACGTAAGTAGATAAACTTCTAGTGTATAATGCGATGCTAATGAGAGTAGACCTACTGGAACTTGGACGGATTCGGTAACCCTGAGGATGAGACCATCTTCAACCACACTTTCCACATCCCATACTCTGGCCAGCGCATGGATGTAGACGCTATCCTTATCCCCACCGGTACTATTCTTCCCAACGAGCAATACTCTGTCAACGATTTCTGGTCGGCTCCTAAGCAGATTGGTGCCAACCAGACTGCGCCCGAGCTCCTCGGCAACTGCGGAACTAACTGCACCGGTTACGACAACTGCTACCTCGTCAATCGCGACGAAGCCGAGGCTCTCGACTGGCGCAACTCTGGACCTGTCGCTTCTCTGTGGAGCGAGTGGTCCGGCATCAAGCTCGACGTCTACTCTGACCAAGCCGCGTACCAGATGTACAGCTGCCCCGGTCAAGATGGTATGTGAGATCCGCAAAATTTTCATAAAATCGCTAACAAAAGTGCCAGGTACTCTGCCTATCAAGTCTACCCAAGGTGCTGAGGGAAGCAGCGGCTACGTCCCCAAGTACGGCTGCGTCGTCATGGAGGTTCAGGACTGGATTGACGCCATCAACCACCCCGAATGGAGGCGCGAGAAGGAGCAAATCTTTGGTCCCTCCAGCGGAGCTTACACGCTCGAGGCCCAGTACGTGTTCTCTACCACTGAGTAGATTTCGCATTGCCGTGACGAAAGAGCGGAGCCTTGGATAAGGCGACATGATACCACGTGCGATAGTATAATTAGACACCATTTGAGGATGTCGTAATGGTAATCCAGGTTATTTCCTGCTTCACATCGGGTTTTGCTTTGCTTTGTTTGTTGTGACACTCCTTTTCGTCGGTCACCATGGATTTGCAGTCACCTTGGATTCGCGGTCACCTTGGATTCGCGGTCACCTTGGATTTGCGGTCACTTTGGAGTTGCGGTCACTGCGGATTCGTTGCCATCGTCGTTGCCTACGTCCCTGTCCATCTCGCCGACTGCTCCTTCCTTTACTCCTTTACCCTCACCAAACAACTCGCCATCTTGAGAGCGAGAACTTGCTATCCAAAGACAACCCCAAGGGGTCGTCTATACGACTCTAGCTAGCAAGTTGCTCAATCCCATATCCCTCACCTTCACCATGGCTGGCGGCCACAAGAACCGCAGCAAGAACCGTCGCAAAAATAAGAACAAAGGCAACGCCAAAGATGCCACCGAAGAAGGCCCCAAAGTCAGCGATGAGGGTAAGGCAGAAAGCTCACAGCCGCCCGCACCCACTAACCTCAAGTCCCCCATTGACCTCCCCGAGCTCGACACGCCTAACACTACTTCATCCCTGAACTTCGCATTGCGCAAATTTACACCTCAACTGAGCACGACTGACATAAAGAAAGCGGGCATCGAGACAGGTCCCCAGACACCAGTTGTGAACCCACCTCCACCTCGATCTGGCTTCGATGATTGGACATCGCCAGAGCCTGATGTGCACAACAAGCCCGAACCTGGTCCCTCCCAATCACGAAAGAGCAAGACGACTCGCGCTTTAGGTCTTGCTCGAGCCGCTGACGCAGCAAAGAGGCTGCACCGCGTCTTGGGCATAGCACCGCCAGAGCCGTTCGTTATGCCGCCTGACATGCCGGAAGGTCTAAAGGAAGAGTTCGAGGCTGGATTGGAGGAGTATGGACTTGATAAAAAGATGCAGAACCTGGGGCTGAATGTGCTGAGTCAGGCGGCGGATATGCAAAAGCCTCTACCGGATAAGCCGCTGTTTCCTTCTCCTCAAGTTGAGGCAGAGACTTGGGATGAAGGAAAGGGCAAAGGTAAGGGTAAGCAGCCTATGGCACCGGTCGAAACTAACGTCGCCCTCCACACTCCATCAGAAGTAGAACCTTCGTCGTCCAAGAGGCCTATGTCTGGAGGCGACGATAAGATCTCTGGTCCGGCACCCAAGGGTTCCCGTGTAGACGATACAACCGGCCTACCAACCCTTCCTGAGTCATCTTCATGGGATATCGATTTCCCCGGCTATACTCCCGCGCTCCTCACCATCCTCCTGAACTGGTCCTTCACAGTACAGTCATTCTACCGGCGCCTTCCAAACCCCAAGGCATTTCGTGCCCATGCCTCATTTCCCTTCCCCGTCACCGCTCCGATCTACAACCACCTCATCTCCGTCGGCTTCTACGACACCAGCGTCGTTCCCCACAAGGAGATCAGGTTCTTGGGTCCAGGCGACGCGGCTGAGATTGCCTACGCAGAAGTCGACGTGTTCCGCGGCAAGGAGGAACGCGCCGCTTTCGAGGAGCAAGAGCAAAAGCATACGAAGCTCGAGGAAATGAAGAAGAAGCTGAAGCTTGGACCCGGGTACCGTGGGCCGGGAGGAGAGGCGGCCCGATCCCAGGACCAGTTCCATCTTGCCATCCATGGAGAGGGACGGTGGGCGTATGTCCTGATCAAGGGTTACCCCACCTCGCCTGAGGACATCGCGCCGCCGCATATCATGCTGGCGTGGCACATCTCCGCCGTCACCGATGTGTCGAGTTGCCTGCACACCGTCTTTCCCGAGAAGGATGCTCCCGCTCCTGGCGACCAGCCCATGACCCCGACATCTTCTAAGCAGCCACTGAAGCCCTTTGCTTCCCTACAGAATCTCGTGAGCGGAAGCCGTGGCCAGAAGCATCTCCATCGCGAGATCCACTCAGCCTCGAGCACTTCGGAGCTGCCTCAGGTGGATGCATCGAGCATTGGGCCTCAAGAGGGTGCGCTCACGTTGAAGAGGACGGTCGCCAAGATGGAGAAGGCTGGAAGTATACCGCTTGTTGAGGGCTTCCGGGTTGACGTTGGGCAGTTCAAGGGATGGCTGGATGCTGTGGATAGGGGAACAGGCAAGCTCATTGTTTGGAGGAAGTAGTAGTCTACGACTCTACCATCCATGCGCCGGTTGCCTAGATAGTGGCGCCAGTGGCTTGCAGTACGAGTGGGCGAAGGATTGAAGTTGGGTTGGTCGTTCGGAACAGATGCTTCGAGCGAGGACAGTGTGTGAACTTGCTCTCGATTGATACAGCAACCGCTTGAAGCTAGTCATCGTTCCGTCTTGGTGGCTCCGTTCTAAGTACACACTATTAGCTAAGACCGACCCATGCATGAAATTTACTTCTGCCCCAAAGCTATCCCAAAAGGCGTCGCAATCGTGAAGCTCTTGAGGCCACTAGATTGATAAAAATGATGCAGTTCGCTTACATCAAAGTGAGGCGTGTCACTGCGACACATGGTGGTCCCTTATCCAATGGTTCACGTGTTTCCTGAGCCGATACAACACGGCCTCTTCGTCCATCGTAGGCAGGCCACTTTCAT